GGGGCGGTGCCCGCGGACAAGGGGCTGCGGAGGCAGAGGGCCGCCGACCCACCTAGCGCAGGAGCAGCCAGCTTCCAGAGGGAACTCCAAGGAGGCTCTGCTGAGATCCGTGCGCACGTGCCTCCCATCCTTGCCCAGTGCGCGGCTTGTCCGAGAGCCCGGAGCCCCCTGAGGCTGGAGAGCGCGTGCCTCTGAAGCGGAGCCTCCGGGAGGAGGCGCGTGTTTCTTGCTGGTCTCTGTGTATCCCAGGGGGCGTGTGCCCCCATCGAAGCTGCGAATAACTGCAAGATGATAGACCATAAATTGCAGGTTTACCTAAAGGCCATCTTTACACCTGGTGTCTAACACAGGGCCGGGCATTAGTAGTAGGCGCTCAACGGAAGTGGAAGCTTGTTCTTTGAGAAGATCAGTAAGATGGGCGAACCACCTAGCCAGACTGGTGAAGAAAAAGATTAAGGGAGAAGAAAAAGTAACACCAGGCATGAGGGAAGTGTCGTTCCTACAGGTTCTACAGATATCCGAGGGTAATCCGGGAAGGTCAGGAAGAGCTTTAGACCAGAAAGTTCTACGGGGTGTGTGACGTGCACAAATTCCCCATAAGACACAAACCACCACTCAAGAAGAAACAGCCAGCCTGAGTAGCCCTGTTCTTCCATAATCTGTAGTTAAAACCTGTCTCACAAAACTCCTCAGGCTCGGTGGCTTCTCTGAGGAGTTACACCTAAGGTGAAGAATGAAATAATACCAACTGTACACAAGTTTCCCTGAAGAGAACGGGGGAGACACTCCCCAGCTCAGTCTGTGAGATCAGCACTGTCCTGATTCAAGAGGGAAGGGACGTTAAAGGAAGACTGTAGACCAGTATTCCTCTGGAACACAGATGCCAACCTCTCTAGCAAAATTTTAGCCAATTGAATTTGATCAAAAGCAAACGTAATAATAAATCATGACCAAAGAGGGGTTGCTTAACATTCAAAAATCAGTGGGACATGGATTTCAGTCAACGGCAACATTCAATCAAAGAGAACGGAGAGAAATTAAGGAGATGTTTAAGAAATCCTGAATGAGATCAGGCTTCAGGTTATGTTGACAGATTCCCCAAGAGAAAAATCTGGCAAATGGCAAAGTACCTACTTATTCTGAGAACAGAGACTAAGTCATGAGGTAATCATCAGCTGACTGGCTGATGGTCTGTCTGCAACATTGTTTTCTCCAGAGAGCAGGGATTACTGACACTTATTAATACACACACTGAGCTACGTTTTTGAATACATGCGTTAATGCTCAAACTAAAATAGTACTTGTTTCTTAGGGCAGGATGTTGTTCATGTGTAGCAGAAATAAGGTGCTTAAGAACAACAGCAGCAGGCAGTTGACCGTGTTAACACAGTAACAAGGAAGAGCACGGTCATCTCCGTACTCGCCCTCAAGAAAGCATTAGGCAGAATTGGGCAACATTCATGTGGAGTTCCTCAGCAAAGCCGGAGTAGAAAGTAACTTCCACAATCTGATGTGCATCTGTAAAAGATTTCAGCTAATGTACTCAGTGGTGAATGACTGAATGCTTCCCCTGTGTTTGGGAACAAGGTAAAGTTATTCGCACTCATCTCTCCTATTCACTGTTGTACTAGAATTTCAAACCATTGCAGCAGAGCAAGAAAAATACATAAAAGACATAGGGAATGGAACAAAGTAAAAATTTTATGTGCAGGTGACGTGGTCATCTCTAGAAAATCTTAAGGAATCTTCTATAAAGCAACCAGCCCCCTTAAGTGTGTTTAGCAAGTTTGCAGGATCAAATGTCAATATACAAAGTCAGTTGCATTTCTATATAATAGCAGCAAAGAAGTGGAAGTGAAGCTTTAAAAAATGCTGTATATAGTACTATCATTGTGGAACTGCCGCATGTATGGATAAGTTTGATAAAAGATGTGCAAGATCTGGAAACTATAAAACATCACTGAGAAACGAAGACAAATGGAGAGAGAGAACAGACTCCTGGGTAAGAAGATTCAGTCTTGTTAAGCTGTCAGGCGTCTTCAAGCTGGCCTATGTAGACTGAGGACAATTCCAGGCAAATTCCCGGTAGGTTTTCTCAGAGACTGCCAGGCAGACCCTAGAATGTGGGTGCACTTGACTGCTCATAGGCTCTTCCTTCATGGTCACCAAAACCCGGGGGGAGATCAAATGTCCATGAACAGGTGAATGGGTGAAGAAACCGTGCCCTGTGCACACCATGGAGTCTTACTGAGCAACGAGAACTTTTATTGATACACACCACGTGGGTGAATCTCAGAACCACCATGCTGAGTGACAGTAACTAGACAGAAAAGAATACGTACCGTACGATTCCACTTACGAAAATTCTGGACCGTGCACAC